AGCTGTAACTCTAGGAAGCATGGTGTGCAAAGGAGCTGCATCAGTTTTTAACTCTAGACCTGAGCAGTCTAACATGGCACCCACTCATCACATGGGGCTGTTGAGCACTTACAATGTGGCTTATTAGAGCTGTGATACATATCACATTTGAAAGACTTCATACCAAAAAACGGACATGAGATGCTCATGAGTTATTTTTATATTGCATGTTGAAATAATAATTATTTCAATATATTGGGTTAAATATGTTATTAAAATTAATCTCACCTGTTTCTTTCTACCCATTTTAAGGTGGCTCACATTACCTGTCTATGGACACCACAGGTCCAGACAAAGAGACACAGAATTTCAAAACTCTGGGTAAATAGGTTTGCCACACTGAAACTGTGTCCTCCTCTGGACCCCTGAGCTTCAGGCTTCTTTGAGAAGCACTGAAACGGGCCTCAGCAGAGCAGCGAGGTAGGATAATTTTGGCCCTGATTCTGGCAATAAGCCTAGAAAACAAACATGGCTTTCAATTAATGTATTAACTGTTCCTCTTGCTTCCAAAAAGAACCAACTTTGAGAGATGCTGAGACACTGGAAATAGGAAGCTGGAAAGAGGCGTCAGTTTCCTTCTCTGCCCCAAGTAGTTTTGCTCTGTTTTACCTCCACCTTGTCATGGAAATTTGCCTGCTGACCCTGACACAGACCAGCAGCCTATTTAAATAATCATGCCACAGGATGGTGCCCAGTGCTCTCTCTTCTGCATCGAGAAGAAGCACAGAATCATTTAATTAGTCACTGTCAGGAGGCAACTTGAACATTGTGGAAATAAATGTTGTTCTATTTGCTCAAGTATTGAAGCTCTTTCTTGTCTTATTGACGTATTACTGGAATTCGCAGAACATTTTGTGAATTCCGGTTGAATGGCAGGTCTTAGTTTTCAAAAGCCTAGTTTTTTTAGTTGTGTATTTTTCTTTTTTAAGAAAACCCATTCATCTGGCTAACAGAAATGAATGACTCATGTAATGTACAGGGACATGATCAAGTATCTTGTTCTCAATGAGTTCCCAGACTAATTGAGTGAGACAAATTTGTTTTTAAGAAAAGATTTACTGATACCATGACAGAAATCTTTACAGAATACAGAGGCAGGTAAAGGAAGGAGTGACGAATTTTCCTAGGCTCATCAGGAAGAACTCTGAATTCGAAGGGCTTTGAATTCGGATTTCCTAACCCCTACCCCATGCGCACTCCTGCCCTAAGTTCGAGCTCCAAACTTTTATATCTAGATGCCCCCAGATGTCTCCACTTGGCTGCCCCAGAGACATCTCAGACTTGACACATACCAAATGTATCTCATTTTTTAAAAAAAATCACTCTTTGTATCTCATGTCGAAGTGCCTTCAGTTCCATATCTCAGTAAATGGCACCATTACCTACTCAGTCCTAAACGGTAAGCTGAAGATCACCCTTCATTTCCTCCTTTTCCTCCACCTCAAAGCAGCCAACCCACTCCTGTCAATCCTGAGCCTTCATCTAATCGTCTCTCACTTGGGCTGATGCAATTGACTGCTGCAGGGAATTCCTTCATTCTCATATCTAAGTCGCAGCATACGTGAACTTTTACAAACATAAGATGATCATGTCACTTTCCTGCTGTGCCTTCCACATTGAGCGTGAAATAAAATTCCACTTCTCCTGGAATCTGAAAAGCTTTTTTACACAGGACACAGAAAGCACTAGCCAAGTAGGGGAAAAAGCAATCCATAGAGTGAGCGAAGGTATTTGTAAAACATACATCTGATAGAGGACTTATATCTAAAATATAAAAGAATTTAAGCAAATCAAAGAAAAACATGGACTATTCAATAGAAAATGAGCTAGATACTTGAACAAAGGTTGCACCAAAGAGAATATCCAAATGACCAACATACGTACAAATAGTCACTCCGCCTCATTAGTCATCAGGAACTAATTAAAGCCACACTGCAATAGCGCTACCCTGTAGATGAAAGGCTAAGATGAAAAAGGGAGATGGACGAATAATCAAGTGTTAAAGGGGCTGAGGAGCAATTAGAATGCTCGCACACTGCTAGCAAGGGTGTAAGCTGGAACAAACTGGCTGGAAAACTATTTGGTAGTATCTATTAAAGCTGAACATATGCATTTCCTATGCCCCAGCCATCTTAACCTTACGTATATACATACCCTTGACCCAAAATACGTGCATATACGTACACCAAAAGACAGGCAGAAGACTATTCTTAGCAGCACCATTCGCAAATATGCCCAAGTTGGAAATTAACCAAATGGGCATCAAAGTAGATGAATAAATAAATTTTGATACAGTCACACAATGACATATCCAACAGCAGTGAAAATCAGATGAGTCACAGAAAAAATACGATTGAATAATATCATACTGTTTAGCAGAAGACAAGAGAGTGCCTACTGTATGATTTGTTAACTCACATTCAAACACAGGCAAAACGAATGAATGCTGTTAGAAGTCAGGTTAGTAATTACCCTGGGCAGGAGTGGGGCTGTCATGACTGGAAACGGGACCAAGGGATGCTTCTGATGACCATGCTGTTTCCTGATTTGGGTGTTGGTTATACAGGTATGTTGAGTATGAAAATATTTATTAAAAATATGCTTATGGCTTGTGTACTTTTCTGTATGTGTCTTAAACTTTAATAAACCTAAAAAAAAAAAAAAGGCAAACATTCAACAATAGCCTAAAGTCCTGCCTACTTTCCAGTCTCCCCGAGTCTCTTCCCCCTGGCAATGCTTGTGCCTGCCCAGTGCATTTTTTCAGCTTCTCAAATACATCATGCTGGCCTGTAATCCCAGCACTTTGGGAAGCAGAGGCAAGAAGATCACTGAGGCCAGGAGCTGGACAACATAGTGAGACTCTGTTTCTACAAAACAACTAAAAAATTAGATGAGCATGGTAGTAGGGCACAGCTATGGTCCCGTTCACTCAGGAGGCTGAGGCGGGAGGATTACTTGAGCCCAGCAGGTCAAGACTGCAGCATGCCATGATTATGCCAAGGTTCCCCAGCCTGGGCAACAGAGCGAGATGCCATCTCTAACATAAATGAATAGATAAAATAGAATTTTTGAAATGACGTTAAATACACCAAGCTCATTGTCACCTCACGGGGCTTGCTTATTTTGTTCCCTCCTTCTAAAGGCCCTCTCCTCCACTCTCCACCTCGCTAGCCCCACGCCTCCTTTACGCCTAAGCTTAGATGTCTCCTTCTCAGTCCCCACACTCAGTTACCACCTAGTATTTTCTACCTCAAGCCTGTATTTTCTTCCTTCAAGGGACTTATCAGCACATGCATAATTTTGTCTGTGTAATTTAGGGAGCTGCCCTTTCTGGTTGGAATGTTTGTTTCATGAAAGTGCAATCTGCTTTGTTCACCATAATACCTCAGAACAAGGACCAACTTGTCCTTTTAGCCCAGGACAGTTCCGATTTTAAAGCTTAAAGACCCACATCCTGGAACACCTTTCAGTCCTGAGCAAATGAGATGCTGCATCACTGTAGTTAGAACAAAGCCTGCTGCCACTGCATAGTAAACATTGAGTTAATGCTAAAAAAAAAAAAAAGATTTTAAAATGTCTTGTTCAGGTAAACGAAAAAAGGAGCAGCAAGATAACACTTATTTTCTAAAACTGATGTAAGAAAGAAAGGTGAAGTGGCCAGAATTGAGGTCCTCTGCACCCAACAGGGCCTTTGTAACGTTTTTACTATGTTTGATTGTGCATCAGCACAATTCTGTAACATATCTCAGGGTTTCAAAGTTGCTTTTGTAGTTGGTAAGGCCTCCCCAAGGCTTCTTTTACTTTGTGGAAAGAAATCTGCTGAAAGACAAAGCAACAGCTCTGCTTGCAAACACACAGGTCACAACATTTCATTCAAATGACTGTGCTGCCTTGGCATCCTCTGTACCCGGAAGCCCTTCCAAAAACTCATCATTATTCTGTCAGGTAGAGCAACTTTGCAGCTTCCACAAACACTGGGGACAATTTGCATCTCCTTCTAGTGTGTACCTTTTGGAGTACAGTTTTCGCAGCAGATGCAAGTAACAAATTCTGAAATTCAAATTGTGACTTAACTGTTCCCCTCTTATTACACTTACACCCACCCTTTCGTTTTTAAACCACCGAACACTCTGTTATGGCCTCTCATTAGAGTCACTGCTTCTTGACTCGTCATTCTTTACTACGTGCCTAAGGAAGGGATTATGCAAGCTATGTTCGGCTGAAATGAAACAGCAGCACTGTTTTCATGACTGGGAGGTACAAGGCAGTCAGATGGGGAACCCCAGGGCAGATAGAGCTTTGGTCACTCCACATTTGCCATGTCTCCATACACACCCTTAAAATTTTTTAGTGATTCATAATTTCAAGCTGGCTTTGTTGGGGAAACCATTCATAAATTAAGCATATTGCATTGTCATTTCCAATTCTTCATCATATGCTTTTGGTCTTGTGGTTTTGCAGTTTCTCCAATTAAAGGTTGAGTTCATTTTCCCAGGCACTGATGTTGGACATAACCACCTGACTTATTTTAGCCGGTGGGATGTGAATGGTGCTCAACCTCTCTCAGCCTAAATCTTAAGAGGTATCACGTATTTCCTGCTTTTACTATTCAGCCATCAAGAAGAGCATGGTCCAGCAGCTCATACACCCAAGGAGAGAGAGAGAGACAGATGGAGAATACCTAGACCCACCCCATAGCTTCAAGCCAAGCTCACATGGGCAGAGCCTAGATGAGCCAACCCTCAATGAGTCTATGAATGTATGTGTGAAAAGATAAGACTGTTGTTTTTAGCCACTGAGTTTTGGGGTTGTTTTTAAGCAAACATTGTTGTGGTAAAAGAAAACTGACAAAATGAAAACGAGCCTACCTATTATTTGATGTTCTCCTCAACCTCTTACCATTCCCTCCCACGAGATCAATAGCAACTCTTTGGCAAACAAAGTCATCTCAGTCAGTCAACTTTTATTGATCATCTACTCTGTTTCAAGTCCTGAGCACACAGAGATGAAAACAACACAGCCTCTCAGCCTGGAAGAGCTTATATTTTGGGCAGGACACAAATAAAACCTCATTTAATTATAACATGGTAAGTGATAAGTTTATTAAATGCACTGTACACTGGTGGGAAGCGATAATCCCATTGTCCAGGAGAGACCATCTTCAAGGTTAGCAGTTCATGCTTGAGAAGATGGGGAGCCCAGCAATGAAGCAGTAATACAGTGACAAAACCGATATCTAGCACTGGACGGGCACATCTATGACCAGTGTGGTGGCAAGATATAGGATATCCAATTCCTTCAGTCGTGAACAGTTGCTAAATGGCATTTCAGGCAATTTCTACAATAGATTTCCTCCTGACACTGGGACTCCATGTTCCTCCAGTTTGAAGGCAAAAGGAAAAGAGTTGGTTTATAGGGCCAGCATGTACAATTCAAACAGCAAAAACCTATGGCTTCTTTTTGGCATAATTCTCTTTCTTTCTCAACAAATATTTTGAGGTAAGCTTTATCATAAATTTCAGCTGTTTTAAATGTACAATTTAACGATTTTTAACAAATGTACAGTTATGCAACCATCACCTGAATGAATTCAATATCAGAACATTTTCATCATGCCAATAAAGATTTCTTCTATGCATTTGCAGTCATTCCTTGTTCTCATCCCCAGCCATACGCAATCATTAATCTACTTTCTGTCTCTATAAATTGCCCTTTTGGATATTTCATATAAATAGAATCATACAGTATGTGGTCTTTTGCATCTGGCTTCTTCCATTTAGAACGTCTCTGAGATTCATCCTTGTTGCAGCATTTATTAATCCATTTTGTTTCTTAAGAAAATGATTTTTCCTTACCAGCTCCATTTCTGCTCCATAAAACTTACAGTAACAAACAATTACCCACAATTTATAGCTTTAGCTTCTCAAGCAGTCAGGCTTAGGGAGGCTGCTGCCTATAAGAAATGGAGACAATACTGATTACAGCAAGAAAAGGCTTTATTTTCCACCTCTCATATCCACTTTACTACACTGGCCAGCAAAGAAACACCTAAATCTTTAGCTATCATGGAGAACCATCACAAATCATCATTATTTCTTAGAAAAAACAGTGTCCCTTACATATTTCCCTCACCATGCCATGGATAAAGTGTTTCTTAGACTACTTTGATCTTGATTCTCTCTCTCATACACACATGCTCTCTTTTCATTGTGTGTGTATATCCTATTGAATCTCCAACTTGTAAATGAGAACTCTTGAACTTTTACAGCAGTACAGAATCAGGACATTGCTAGCCAAGACTGTTCTAAATTATCTAACTGTACCAAAGACAAAGCCTGTAAAATTCTTCTGCTCATGTCACAACATCTAAATAGATACCAGTAGCAGAGGCACCATTAATCTTAACATGTTGTTGTTGTCATTGTTTTGGGAAGACTTTAGCCTTTCCGCTGAGCTGTTCAGAAAAAACAACAATATTTTTATACAGTTCCTTATTATTTCCGTCAGTGGAACTGTATCACCACATCATCCCACCATTTCAGGAGATTTCAATGCATCTCCCTTTGTAAAATCATGGAACAAAACAACTTAAGCACTACAGAGACTAGAGCTTTGAGTGCATAATTAGCCAAGAGAATTGTCCAACCTGACTGGGAATCATGAGCTGTGATTAGACCAGCTGTGCTTGCAAGCTAGGACCAGCATTCAATACTACCATCTCTAGCTTCATACCCAATGCATGCATTTGAATCTGCATGACTATTTCAGTCTCCGTGTTAAGTACACTATCCATCTTGCAGTAGCGCCCTAAGACCACTTATGCCATCGTTATGGACAGCTGAGAAACTATGCCATACTCAAAATCTCCACACAAAGTGACTGTGATGGTGCAAAGCCTAATTCTGTGAGCCATGCCAAGGCGAAGTGATCTTGCAGTGCTTTGATAGCAAGTTTGAATCCAAAACAATCTGGAGCAAGAGAAGGAGAGGTTTAAATTAAATAGAATTAAATTGGACAAAGAAAAGGGGAAGATAGAACCTTGTAACTGTAATAAACCTTGCCAATTCAAAGCTGAGAAACAGTGGATGGGAGAAAGAATGTGAATATAAAACCTCCAAATCTATGAGAATCAACCATGCTCCTCGGATAGAAAAGAGGGTTGCAAGCGACACAAACAGGCTTTGACCTCAGGGTCACTTATCACTTTTCTCCCATAGTGTAAGCTTTTAGGAAAAGCAAGGGCCACAAAAATTGCCCTGCATTTTAGAAAATGTGAATGCGTTATAGAAAGGATTGAGTTAATCAAATTCCTTGGTCCATGGGACATGATCAGTTTGCACAAGGCTCTGGCCTCCTTTTATTTCTTCATTTATTTATTCTTTTAAAAAAAAATGAATTGTGGTTAAAAAAAACTACAAAGCATAAAATTTACCATCTTAGCCGCTTGTAAATACAGTTCAGTGGTGTTAAATACAGTCAAATCATTGTGTGATCAATCCCCAGAACTCTTTATCTTGCAAAATTGCAATTCCCATCAACCCACCCCGACCCTTCAGCTCCTGACAGTCACCCTCTACTTTCTGTATCTACAAATTTGAGTGCTCTAGGTACATCGTCTAGGTGATTATATGGTATGTCTCTTTCTGTGACTCACTTATTTCACTCAGCATAATGTCTTCAAGGTTTATCTGTGTGGTAGCATGTGTTGGAATTTCCTTCTTTTAAAAAATAATTTCAACATTTATTTTAGATTCAGGGGATACATGTACTGGTTTGTTACATGGGCATATTGCATGATGCTGAGGTTTGGGATGGGAATGATCCCATCACCCAGGTAGTGAGCATAATACCTAACAATTACTTTTTTAACTCATGTCCCCTCCCTCCCCCTTCTATGTGTCCCCAGTGTCAGCTGTTGCCATCTTTATGTTTACAAGTAGTCAATATTTAATTCCTACTTATTAAGTGAGAACATGCAGCATTTCGTTTTCTATTTCTGCATTAATTCACTTAAGAGAATGGCCTCCAGCTGCATCCATGCTGCCGCAAAGGACATGATTTTGTTCTTTTTTATGGCTGCACAGTAGTCCATCATGTATATGTACCACATTTCCTTTAACAAATCCACCATTGATAGGCACCTAGGCTGAGTCCACATCTGCTATTGAGAATAGTGCTGCCATGAACAAATGAGTACATGTCTTTTTTAGAAAGGTTTATTTTCTTTTGCCTATATACCCAGTAACTGGATTGTTGGGTTCAATGGTACTTCTGCTTTAAGTTCCTTGAGAAATCGCCAAAGCAATTGCCACTGGTTTCCACAGTGGCTGAAATAATTTCTAGTCTCATCAACAGTGTATAAGCATTCCCTTTCTTCCACAGCCTCATAGCGTCTATTGGTTTTCTGCCTTTTTAATGAAGCCATTCTGACTGGTGTAAGATGGTATCTCCTGATAATTTTGATTTGCATTTCTCCAGTGATTAGTGATGTTGACCATTTTTCCATATGTTTGTTGATTGCTTGTATGTCTTCTTTTGAGAAGTGTCTGCTCATGCCTTTTGCTCACTTGTTAATGGGGTTAGTTGGTGTTTGCTTGTGGAATTGTTTCAGAGCCTTATAGATTCTGGTAATTAGACCTTTGTCAGATGCATAGTTTGTGAATATTTTCTCCCGTTCTGTAGGTTGTCTGTTTACTCTGTGGATAGTGTCTTTTGCTGTCAAGAAGCTCCTTAATTAGGTCCCACTTGTCAATTTTTGTTTTTGTTACAATTGCTTTTGAGGACTCAGTCATAAATTTTTTCCTAAGGCTGATGTCCAGAATGGTATTCCCTAGATTTCCTTCTAGAATTCTTATATTTTGAGGTTTTACATTTGAATCTAACCCATTGTGAGTTAATTTTTGTATATGGTGAAAGGTAGGGGTCCAGTTTCATTCTTCTACATATAGTTAACCAGCTATCCTGGCTCCGCTTATTGAAAAGGGAGTCCTTTCCTTGTTGCTTATTTTTGATGACTTTGTCAAAGATCAGATGGCTGTAGGTGTGCAGCTTTATTTCTGGGTTCTCTATTCTGTTTTATTGGTCTATGTGTCTGTTTTGTGCCAGTATCATGCTGTTTTGATTACTGTAGCCATATAGTATAGTTTGAAGTTGGGTAATGTGACACCTTCAGGTTTGTTCTTTTTGCAATTAGGATTGCTTTGGCTATTCAGGCCCTTTTTTGGTTCCATACGAAATTTACAATAGTTTTTTTTCTAATTATTTGAAAAATGATATTAGCAGCTTGACAGGAAGAGTGTTAACTCCATAAATTACTTTGAGCAGTATGGCTATTTTTTTTTTCTTCTTCATACAAACAGAGGTTTTATTGCTTTTATCCACAGACGTGTTTCACATTATCTCATGGAGCAGGGCCCCTGTGTGGGGTCCCTGTGCAGTACTTGGTGGGGCATGTGGCTGGGGGAGACAGAGCAGTAGAGCTGGTCAGGCCCAGAAAGAGTGAAGGAGGGTTGGGGGCTCCTTAAAACCTACTGAAAGGGCTGGACATGGTGGCTCATGCTTGTAATCCCAGCACTTGGGGAGGCGGAGGTGGGCAGATCACCTGTGGCCAGGAGTTTGAGACCAGCCTGACCAACATGGTAAGACCCCATCTTTAGGCCGGGTGCTGTGGCTCACACCTATAATTCCAGCACTTTGGGAGGCCGAGGCAGGTGGATCCCAAGGTCAGGAGTCGAGACTAACCTGGTCAATATAGTGAAACCCTGTCTCTACTGAAAATATAAAAATTAGCCAGGCATGGTAGCAGGCACCTGTAATCTCAGCTACTCGGGAGGCTGAGGCAGGAGAATCACTTGAACCAGGGCGGCGGAGGGTGCAGTGAGCCAAGATCGCGCCACTGCACTCCAGCCTGGGCAACAGAACCAGACTCTGCTCCCTCTCCACCCAAAAAAAAAGAAAAAGAAAAACAAACCCAGTCTCTTCTAAATATACAAAAATTATCCACGCATGGTGGAGCAGCTGCAGTCCCAGCTACTTGAGAGGCTGAGGCAGGAGAATCCGTTGAGCCCTGGAGGTGGAGGTACAGTGAGCCAAGATCACACCACTGCATTCCAGCCTGGGCAAAAGAACAACAACAAAAATCCTACTGCGGCCGTGGCAGGCGGGGGGGCAGTGCTAACATGAAGAGGAGGTCAGGCTTAGCCCCTGCAACTCAGAATTCCACTTCCTTGTAAGGGCCTCACTTTCCCCACCAGGCCTCAGGGCACATCTGAGGGTCTGAGGTCTGTTGGTCTGAGGGTACAAGGGAAATCCAGCCACTTGGGACCCTGAGCTATTTAGCATCCTGGCCAGGCCCCCTTTCCTGGGGGACGAATTTCCCAGCACTGTCCCCACTGTCCCCGCCCCATTCCTTGGGGAAAAAAAAAATGTATTTTTCTTTTGTTAATACATCCTGAAACGTTGTGGGTACAGAAACCACAAACTGATTGGCTGACAAAAGAGAGAAGAGGCGAGGCAATCGGGAACCTTCGGAGACCAGTTCCCTCCAAGCCCAGGTCTCTTCTCCCCAGCACAGCTCGGCCCACAGCCTGGACATGCCAGCAGGGACCCTCACCCTACACGTATAGGGATATGGCCTTGACCCCTCCCCCCACAACTCGGTGACTCAGTCCTGTGATGGACCAAGGCAAGGGGGAAAAACACCCTGCTACCTGATCCCACGCCGCCACTCACACACCCTCAGTTATTGGCAGCACTGAACAAATTAAGAGAAAAAAAAGATGAAAACACAGAAAAAAACAAAAAAACCCAAACAGGGAGATGATGTGGGGAGAAAGCATGCTGGGAGCCTCAGTGGCCGGCCTCCTCCTGGTAGTAAGGGGATATTCAGGGGCCTCCCCTGGGCCAGAGCAGTTTCCAGCACCCGAGGGGGCCCCATTGGCCACTGCACCTTGC